CGAGATGTCCTATTTCGAGTCCAAAGTTTTCTCAATTAGCGTAACGGAGCTACATTATCAGTAACGCGAACTGACGTTATTTGACGTTTATGAACATTCTGCTCTATAGTGGGTGTCAGTCCTGACCCTGGCATGCATTCTAGGTTTTAGTAGGTGTCAGTCGTAACCCTTGTGGCTAATCCTGTCATGATAATTGTATTATCCGTTTGAGATAATCTCAATAATCTGTACATTAACAGCAGAAAGGGATGCATCACAGACTGTCGGAATCCTGATAAGAACTCCAACACTAACGCCAACTGTGTGTCATATACTGCCAAGCCCTGATCTCGGGTCCTGGAGGCCAATGATCTCCCTCAGTCTCAAGTTCATATTGATGGCTATTTTATTGTATCTTCGAATAAATGATAAGAGAGGACGCTTGATGATAGATCACAACGTGATGAAATTGAGGTTTCAAGAACAGACTCACTTGTATATTCTATGCTATGTGTGTCTAATGGTGGGTGATCTGCGATCAACGTTTTATCCTTTGGGCGGAGTTAATCTACATCACTCTTTCTTGACAAGGTTATCTGGACAGAGAGCTGGTGTTTGCCATACCATTCGTAACACCTACTGGGGATTAGATTAAAAACAGCTTACTTCTGGTGATTTCCATTTGAATATTGAAGTTAAGTCGAAATCTTAATCTCTTTAATGTAGATATGTTGAAGTCCATTTACAATATGTGGGTATTTTATGTAGATTAAGCCATGACAAAGCAATGATATGACAAGGTGAGCCTTTATTTAGGTGTCATCTTACGTACGCACACAAATTAACTCACCAACAGTAGATACAAAAAAATAACTCACCAACAGTAGATACACAAATTAACTAACCAACAGTAGATACACAAATTAACTCACCAACAGTAGTTACAACAATTAACTCACCAACAGAAGATGGACTGATTAACTCATCAACAGAAGATGGACTGATTAACTCACCAACAGAAGATGGACTGATTAACTCACCAACATAGTTACAGCAATTAACTCACCAACAGTAGTTACAGCAATTAACTCACCAACAGTAGTTACAGAAATTAACTCACCAACAGAAGATACACAAATTAACTCACCAACAGAAGATACACAAATTAACTCACCAACAGTAGATACACAAATTAACTCACCAACAGTAGATACACAAATTAACTCACCAACAGTAGATGGACTGATTAACTCACCAACAGTAGATGCACAAATTAACTCACCAACAGTAGATTGACTGATTAACTCACCAACAGAAGATACACAAAATAACTCACCAACAGTAGTTACACAAATTAACTCACCAACAGTAGATACACAAATTAACTCAACAACAGAATCACAAATTAACTCACCCACAGTAGATACACAAATCAACTCACCAACAGTAGATACACAAATCAACTCACCATCAGTAGATACACAAATTAACTAGCCAACAGTAGATACACAAATTAACTCACCAACAGTAGATACACAAATTAACTTACCAACAGAAGATGGACTGATCAACTCACCAACAGAAGATGGACTGATAAACTCACCAACAGAAGATGGACTGATTAACTCACCAACAGAAGATGGACCTATTGACTCACTAAAAGAAGATAAAAAATAGTTGATACAAATTCAGAGGTTGTATTAATTGACTCTCATTTTGAGGATGTTTTAACTAACTCACTTGCAGGGGAAGGAACAATTGAGTTATTTGCAGGGAGATTGACTCAATGAGTCACTTGCAGAATATTGAATGATTGAGTCAAGTACATTGGATTGTATGATTGAGTGACTAACAGAGGATATAATTATTGAGTGACTTACAGGGGATGGAATTATTGATTCGCCTGCAGGAAATCGTCTGCTTTGACTCAATTGTAATGGCATAGACAAACACTGATTACAATTGAATCACATAGGATACCTTCACATACCTACGTGCATAGGGATGGACTGCAGGGGACATCTAACCGACTCAATTTCAGAGGATGGAGTTATTGATCCATTTGCAGGGATGAATTAATTGAATCAATTGATATAACAAACAAGTACAGGGCAATATAAACAAAATGCACACAAATGGTATCGGGCAAACAAAACTCATTATTTTAATGTTGGAGTGTCTTCATAACGTAACCAAAACTGCATCATCAGCAATACCACTGCTTCTGAATCAGAAGATGTTTGTATTGGTTTCTGAATTGCCCGGAAGTTAATCGATTGAAATCAGTTATATGAATATCATACGTTTTACCCTGAATCGGTCACCGTCTTACACTCTGATAAAACCAAAGTAACAATGACTGCCATGCCTTCTAAACCACAAAAGCGCGGAAAGAAGTTTCGTTTTACAACATTTTCACACTAGGCTTTATTGGAAAAAGTCATGATTGTTTCCAGCTTTGCGATTTTGTCCCTGGCTTCTAACAGAAGAGATAATCTCCAGCTATGTTATGCCACAAAGCACTATGAAATATGTGTCTGTATGATAATCAACTCGTGTTGTATGATTCATGCCTGATACCAATCAAAACAGCTGTATCTGGGTCATGATAGAGAGTAAACTATGACCTATGTTGGGAGGCTGTGTATAAGGTCACAGCAGAGACTAAACGATGACCTTCGCTTTACAGTAGCATTACATTACATAAGTTGATGTAGGCAAGTCGGGACAGAGAATAGCCGCGACCTGTTATTACATTAGAGGGTTTGTAGAAAGTTAACCCTGACTTCTGTTTTAACAGACATTGCACGGAAGGTTAAGCGCAAGGTCGTGCGAATACAACATGATCTATGGTTTAAACAGGCATTTATTGAGAGTGTGTGGGTAAAGTCATGATGGAGGGTGAACAAACGACTACCGCTATCATGGGTGTGTGTAAAGTTAGGATAGAGCATGAAGATACAACGAATCTGCCACAAACATCACATTGATAGAGTAAACCTTAATTGACGACGTTATAGGGGGTCTTTACACAGACAGTATATATGGCTTGCCAATGTGTATGGCTGGGATAGAGAGTAACGTGTGATTGCTTCTGTGAAAATAGGTTTTACACAAACGTAACATTGGATAGTTTAGTTCCGAATATGGTATAAAATGCTTGCTGTCATCATAACGGAGCTTACATAGACATTGTATGGTAGAGTTTGTCAATGTGAACATTTTGGATGGAGAATATATAAAAAAACTTGTTTTCTTTAAATTGGTTACGCCTACTGATAGTAATAGATAATTAATACACAAGCGTACATTAGAAACATCTCTGATAGAAATAGATTTCAATTAAAAAATGCAAATTTTGAAATATACATCATAAAAGACCAAGACGTGTTATTGTGTAGAGAACTTTGAAAAACTAGTAAATTATTAAAACACGAGGAAGCTTCTTCCCTCTTTGGCCTCCAAACCAGAAAGTTAGATACGATGGAATAAATAACTATGTATCAGATACAGAAGGACTCGTCAATAAACAAATCGGAGGATCCAACACACAGTTAGTAGAACTTAGGAGAGTGGGGTTGCTTGAACTACAAATTAGGGAATCAAAATTGCCTCGAATGTGTGCACATGTACTTGTAAGTGTGATCGTTATTTGCCACCAAATTACTTATTTAATTAAGAACAGCGTATTACGACTGAAAGTGTTACCTGATTTCTGCCGACAAAGGCTTTTGAGGAAGAATAATTCTTGTACTGTTCCTACGGAGTGATAAGGATACTGTGGTTAGTTTATTCATGCTGATTAGAATGGGATTTAGGACACCAAGCAGTTGGTTGGTGATAGCCTTACTCATAATAATGTAGCTTATAACTAGGTGAGATTTTAGGCACCACGTAGTTGGTTAGAGGGAGAGTATTACTTATACTTTTACTTGTAATCAAGGTGAGATTTCAGGCACCATGTAGGTGGTTAGAGGGAGAGTATTACGTATACTTTTATTTGTAATCAAGGTGAGATTTTAGGCACCATGTAGGTGGTTAGAGGGCGAGTATTACTTATACTTTTACTTGTAATCAAGGCGAGATTGGAGGTACCATGTAGGTGGTTAGAGGGAGAGTATTACGTATACTTTTACTTGTAATCAAGGTGAGATTTCAGGCACCATGTAGGTGGTTAGAGGGAGAGTATTACGTATACTTTTATTTGTAATCAAGGTGAGATTTTAGGCACCATGTAGGTGGTTAGAGGGCGAGTATTACTTATACTTTTACTTGTAATCAAGGGGAGATTTTAGGCACCATGTAGGTGGTTAGAAGGAGAGTATTACTTATACTTTTACTTGTAATCAAGGCGAGATTGGAGGTACCATGTAGGTGGTTAGAGGGAGAGTATTACGTATACTTTTATTTGTAATCAAGGTGAGATTTTAGGCACCATGTAGGTGGTTAGAGGGCGAGTATTACTTATACTTTTACTTGTAATCAAGGTGTGATTGGAGGCACCATGTAGGTGGTTAGAGGGAGAGTATTACGTATACTTTTACTTGTAATCAAGGTGAGATTTCAGGCACCATGTAGATGGTTAGAGGGAGATTATTACTTATACTTTTACTTGTAATCAAGGTGAGATTTCAGGCACCATGTAGGTGGTTAGAAGGAGAGTATTACTTATACTTTTACTTGTAATCAAGGTGAGATTTCAGGCACCATGTAGGTGGTTAGAGGGAGAGTATTACGTATACTTTTATTTGTAATCAAGGTGAGATTAAAGGCACCATGTAGGTGGTTAGAGGGAGAGTATTACTTATACTTTTATTTGTAATCAAGGTGAGACTTTAGGCACCATGTAGTTGGTTAGAGGGAGAGTATTACTTATACTTTTACTTGTTATTCGTGTGAATTGTCAGGACACCATGTAGTCGGTTGGAGGGAGGGTAATTCTAACAGCTTGACTTGTTGTTAAGGAGAGATTGCAGCCATCATATGTAACCAACAACTAATCCTCTTTCATTTTATTACAGTGTATTTTGAAGTCAGATCGGAGTGTCCTATGGGTGCCGTAGAGAGCATGAGGCGCTGTATACGAACCTCCCTTCCCAACTTTGGACTAGGGCCTCCTGCCGGAGAACCTCCTAATGCTCTCAGGGAGGGCATTGACATGATGAGGGAGTCGTGTGAGTAAGTATGAGTAACTCCCCTTGGGAACGTGTGTCCCCCTTTGCGTCAAACACAAGGTTAGAAAAAAGTTTTATTAAAACAATGTATTCAATCGTTATTAAATGATTTGCCTTATTCGTATATATTGATGTAGATGCATGGATACTAATTTACATTATTGTCAACACTTGAAATGAGAAATAACCCGTATCCTTCGTACATGTAGATGATTAAATAGAAGTTACGTAGCCTTTACCTAGGAACGTGTGATCAAATGACTTACCTCCCTTTAATATTATGTAGAACTATATGAGCCTTATTAGGCATTACCGATTGAAATATATCGATCTTTTATTATGAGTTTTCATCTCATTGAGTTGTAGATTATATATCAAAATGAATACAGTGTGTGTGCTATTAACATGAATAATGTTTTTGTATGTTTTGACATTGCTCTGTCATCCATGACTGATAAATTGCATTTTTTATTCTGTCTCTCTGAAGACGAAACAGACGTTGGTAAGACATGGTGTGAGATCTAAGAATGCAGCCTAGCTTTGATAGCTTGTGCTAAACCGGATATTGAAGTTGTAATTGCAGTTTCTATGACAACGTATTTCGAAAAAAACACCAAACCTACCAGAGAATTTCTAAAGATGTTTGTTTTGTAAACTGAACAGAGAAGGTCGTCGAAATGATTTGTTGAACATATAACGAAAATCCTTGTTGATAATAATTTGTATTCAATGTATTGAATTTCTGTTTCAAATTTGAAACTTCAATATCATGCTTCCGTGTTCCTCTATGGTGGTTGCATTGTCTGTCAAGTACATTTTAGTTTTAGAGGTAGATTGATTTGAGAAATTGAGTTTTATATTTTCTTTGTAGCTGCACCTCCTTTTAGGTTGTTAATAATTAACTTTTTAGAAAACTATTCAAATCAGTATTACACCATTTTGTGTTATTTGTATTGATGATAGAATGGAATTTTGATGTTGTTGGTCTTCCTATGTTTTTCTTGTTTTGTTTATTCAATGCTATTATACACTTTTGACATATATTTATTTCTAACCAATTTCATGTTATTGTCCATATTTCAATAAAATTAAAGCTGTTATAAAATCGTTTTTTAATGCACAGGTGTATATATGTCATGGCCATGTGATTAACGATAGACCAATCACAATATAGATGTTTTTCTTTTTCTTTTATTACCTCTATAAATGAAGTCAGGTCTAAAAAATGTACTGTCAAACATGAGAAATATTTGCAATAATATTTTAACTTTTTTCTTTGAACCACGAACTATAAGTACAGAGAGTAGGAAACTTTAACTGACTCCAAACGTACGAGGAGACCGATGAAAATGTACCAGCGAAAAGTAGATATAGTACCCTTCATAAGCCTTAAAATTGAAGTACACGAATATTTCGTGTCATACAGTTTAGAGAGGTACTACTTGCTATGTAATTGTTAGCCATAACAAAATCTAAATCTCAATCAATACAACCGCCTACAATTATTATTTACTTGTTTCAATACTGGTCGCTTCACTACCAAACTCTTTGACACACCTGCCGACTTTGATTTCACGATCGTCAATTGTTCTTTACTCAATAGCATCATACTTAGTATCATACTGTAGTCCTGACTACAATTGTAACTAAAACGACAATAAGGGTTGGTCAGATCAGGGTTCCAAAGTATAACGTAACTACAGTATTTCACATTTTAATTTCTTATTCACCATATTGTCTTATTTGTATTCATGATTGAATGGAATTCTGATGAAGTTGGCTTTCTTCTATTTTTTCCCTGTATTGTTTATTTGATGTTATTATAGACATTTGTATTATTTCTAACCAATTTTGTTATAGTTCATATTTTCAATCAAATTAAAGCTGTTATTCAGTTATGTGTAATGCATAGGTTACGAAATCCATTCATATATCATGACCACGTGACTTGCGATAGACCAATCACAATATAGGTCTTATTTGTTTTTCTTCTTCTTTTATTTCCTCTAAAAATGAAGAAATAACTATATGACTTGAAACGATACTGTCAAACATGAACACTAGACTTCACGATCGTCTGATTTTATTGACTCAATAGTATCATACTTAATATCATCAATGAAGTCCTGACGCCACTGGTATCTAAACCGAAAATAAGGGTTGTAGAGATCAAGGTCACAAACTATAACGTAACTACAGTATTTCACATTTCAATTTCTTACTAATCTATGAATGGAATACATTAACAAAGTTATAAGGTCGCAGATCAAAGTTACACGGTGGTCATGTGATCGGAGTATTTCTCTCACAGTTATCAATGGAATGCTACCAGCCGTGCTACGCCTAAACAAAACAAAAACGGAAAAATACGAAAACATAAGTGGGTATGTAAAGGCTACATGGTCATTTAGATACGTTTATTAAAAAATCATAAATTGTTTTTTTTTTGCACCAAAGCAAGGATATACTACATATTTCTGTCTTGTTTTATATACTTCTGATATACTTGAACGACAAAACATCCCTGAGCATGTTGTTATATATAGCACACGAACAATAAAAGTCTGGTATTTGCTAGAGAGAAAAAGGAGCGTATTACACGGTCTGTTGACATTTCCTTCATAAGATAGCATTCTTAGTGTATAGATTTACAATGTTCCCAGTACAATCTTAGTGTATAGATTTACAATGTTCCCAGTACAATCTTAGTGTATAGATTTACAATGTTCCCAGTACAATCTTAGTGTATAGATTTACAATGTTCCCAGTACAATCTTAGTGTATAGATTTACAATGTTCCCAGTACAATCTTAGTGTATAGATTTACAATGTTCCCAGTACAATCTTAGTGTATAGATTTACAATGTTCCCAGTACAATCTTAGTGTATAGATTTACAATGTTCCCAGTACAATCTTAGTGTATAGATTTACAATGTTCCCAGTACAATCTTAGTGTATAGATTTACAATGTTCCCAGTACAATCTTAGTGTATAGATTTACAATGTTCCCAGTACAATCTTAGTGTATAGATTTACAATGTTCCCAGTACAATCTTAGTGTATAGATTTACAATGTTCCCAGTACAATCTTAGTGTATAGATTTACAATGTTCCCAGTACAATCTTAGTGTATAGATTTACAATGTTCCCAGTACAATCTTAGTGTATAGATTTACAATGTTCCCAGTACAATCTTAGTGTATAGATTTACAATGTTCCCAGTACAATCTTAGTGTATAGATTTACAATGTTCCCAGTACAATCTTAGTGTATAGATTTACAATGTTCCCAGTACAATCTTAGTGTATAGATTTACAATGTTCCCAGTACAATCTTAGTGTATAGATTTACAATGTTCCCAGTACAATCTTAGTGTATAGATTTACAATGTTCCCAGTACAATCTTAGTGTATAGATTTACAATGTTCCCAGTACAATCTTAGTGTATAGATTTACAATGTTCCCAGTACAATCTTAGTGTATAGATTTACAATGTTCCCAGTACAATCTTAGTGTATAGATTTACAATGTTCCCAGTACAATCTTAGTGTATAGATTTACAATGTTCCCAGTACAATCTTAGTGTATAGATTTACAATGTTCCCAGTACAATCTTAGTGTATAGATTTACAATGTTCCCAGTACAATCTTAGTGTATAGATTTACAATGTTCCCAGTACAATCTTAGTGTATAGATTTACAATGTTCCCAGTACAATCTTAGTGTATAGATTTACAATGTTCCCAGTACAATCTTAGTGTATAGATTTACAATGTTCCCAGTACAATCTTAGTGTATAGATTTACAATGTTCCCAGTACAATCTTAGTGTATAGATTTACAATGTTCCCAGTACAATCTTAGTGTATAGATTTACAATGTTCCCAGTACAATCTTAGTGTATAGATTTACAATGTTCCCAGTACAATCTTAGTGTATAGATTTACAATGTTCCCAGTACAATCTTAGTGTATAGATTTACAATGTTCCCAGTACAATCTTAGTGTATAGATTTACAATGTTCCCAGTACAATCTTAGTGTATAGATTTACAATGTTCCCAGTACAATCTTAGTGTATAGATTTACAATGTTCCCAGTACAATCTTAGTGTATAGATTTACAATGTTCCCAGTACAATCTTAGTGTATAGATTTACAATGTTCCCAGTACAATCTTAGTGTATAGATTTACAATGTTCCCAGTACAATCTTAGTGTATAGATTTACAATGTTCCCAGTACAATCTTAGTGTATAGATTTACAATGTTCCCAGTACAATCTTAGTGTATAGATTTACAATGTTCCCAGTACAATCTTAGTGTATAGATTTACAATGTTCCCAGTACAATCTTAGTGTATAGATTTACAATGTTCCCAGTACAATCTTAGTGTATAGATTTACAATGTTCCCAGTACAATCTTAGTGTATAGATTTACAATGTTCCCAGTACAATCTTAGTGTATAGATTTACAATGTTCCCAGTACAATCTTAGTGTATAGATTTACAATGTTCCCAGTACAATCTTAGTGTATAGATTTACAATGTTCCCAGTACAATCTTAGTGTATAGATTTACAATGTTCCCAGTACAATCTTAGTGTATAGATTTACAATGTTCCCAGTACAATCTTAGTGTATAGATTTACAATGTTCCCAGTACAATCTTAGTGTATAGATTTACAATGTTCCCAGTACAATCTTAGTGTATAGATTTACAATGTTCCCAGTACAATCTTAGTGTATAGATTTACAATGTTCCCAGTACAATCTTAGTGTATAGATTTACAATGTTCCCAGTACAATCTTAGTGTATAGATTTACAATGTTCCCAGTACAATCTTAGTGTATAGATTTACAATGTTCCCAGTACAATCTTAGTGTATAGATTTACAATGTTCCCAGTACAATCTTAGTGTATAGATTTACAATGTTCCCAGTACAATCTTAGTGTATAGATTTACAATGTTCCCAGTACAATCTTAGTGTATAGATTTACAATGTTCCCAGTACAATCTTAGTGTATAGATTTACAATGTTCACAGTACAATCTTAGTGTATAGATTTACAATGTTCCTAGTACAATCTTAGTGTATAGATTTACAATGTTCACAGTACATGCACGTCAGTTGAATATATCTATGCATGGACTTGTTGACTTGTTGACCTGTTGACTTGCCGATTAGGTTTTGTATTTAATGCAAATAATGCATTATTTCGCCTTGCATACATACACATGAGCAATTTTGCAGAAAATCGGGTTCACGACACAGATAAACTGAAATATAACTATCTTACAATGAATTATCGTATTCCAATTGAAATGCATAAGATCAACCTATTACGAAATGTTACACATTTACGTTTTTTTCTAAATTATTATTATTCATTTTTTTCAGTTTTACGACATTGAAATAATCAGCCTTTTAAAACTTCAATTTGTATAATTGTTCTTCAGGTGTACCTTTAGGGATCAAATAAGGGAGTATTTGTTACTATATTTTATCATATTGGACCATACTTCAAGTTAAATGGATAATAGAACATCATCAGCAGAGGTTTTATTATTTGCATTCGTCAAACACAAATTCAAATATACAAAATCAGATTATTTCATGAAATTTATTTTTTATTTTTTATTGCACACCTATTTAATATTCATCCCGGTGACTTTTTACCATTTTACCAAGTGAATCTTATAACATAAGCTTGTCTAAGTAATTTGGATTATCGAAAACTACATTAACGACAATGAAGATAACAGGAAGGGTGTTTTGTAGCATTAAACACTCATGTAAATGTCATTCCTGCTACTCAATTTCTTTCTGTTACTTTTTTACTTGTTTGGTGCATCCTTTTCATGAAACAATTAGAACTATCATTATTTTATTTTTACGATCCTACGCACTTGAAACTAGACTTACAGTCATGACGAACCGATAAGTCGGCAAGACTGACTGTGTTAATGCTCAAATAGTAAAATGAGTCATAACCCTACAATAGTGTCCATACAGCACAATGTATACACATTGGGTCAGGTCCACTGCTATACCTGAGGGATACGGCTTTTGTTAAGTACGCATACATGGTAGCATCCTGAACTTCAAAAAATGTTGCAAAGATGCACTGGCCGGAGTTTGGATACGATCAATCCGGATAGCGGTATCTTCTTCGGCAGTGTATTTACAATGACCTTTTAATGCTCCTCTTGAAGCTCGTTACAACAGAATGTTCTGTTACTTCTTTGTTGCATTCGTTTTACTGTACAGTGTATTGTTATATATTTTGTAGAACAACAGTACGCCATAAATCTGTTCCTGAAATTAATGCTTAAAAGTTAAAGCATCACTAATTTGTATATAACACCTAATAGTGCTAACTTTAGCTCCAGTAATGTATGATAATGTACACAAATTTGAAGACTAAGTGTAATTTTACCAAACATGTCAGTTGAGTAAACTCAATTAGGAATCTAAGTTACCAAAGTCAGTAACTTAGGTTGCTAAATTATGCAGTTATTTGTGATACCAAAAGCAGTTGTTATATTTATGAAATTAATCTTTTTGTATTAGCGAAGTCATCTTTGTGTTCAAATCGGTCCTTTTTTTTGTCAATTTTATTTTGTTACCAAATTGAGTCGTTTGTGGGATCAACATTGTTGTTACAAAAATGGATCATTTGTATTATAATTATGTACTTAAAAAGTCGTGTGTGTTACCAAAATAAGTGATTTGTGCTCCCACCATTAGTTATGTGTGTTCCAACATTATAGTCACTTGTGTTCCCGACACCAACTTACCATGTCTCTTACATACACACACGCAAGCACGCATACACTACACACATGGAGGCATGTCCGTGAATTACCTTAGCTGTTAATAGGACGTTAAACAAAATTAAACCAAACCAAACCAAACCAAACTGAGTGAGTTGTGTTACCAATGTCTTCTCCGGTTATAGTATATATTTACCTGTACTTGTACTTTTGTGAACGAGCATAAGCTATTTTACTGTATTGTGAGTGTGTGGTGTTTTTCATTACTACATAATTAATTCTGTTTATATACAAGTTGTCTACAGCTTCAACCGAGAGATTGTCTCCCAAAACACCGTGTGTGTTAAATGAGTTTGTTAACCACGGGAATCGTGCATTCCTGTACAATATAAAGTTCTACACGCATGAACACGCATGTTTTGATAAGAGAACTTTAAAAACTCTAATTGCAATCTGTAAATGAGAAATGTGATGGTACCCTGCCATTTCTAGTAGGATATGACAATCCTGTGTTTCACGGTCGTTTTCCCTATTCACGTTTGACCTGAATATTGGCGCTGTGACTGCTGGGATGTGTAACGTCTCTTTATTGGAATGTCACGCGCTTTGATGGCGGGAAATATATACGGACGGTAGACCTAGACATCATTCAATCAAAAGCACAACATTCCATCTGTAAATGTCGATGTCCTTTAGTCTGTTATCAGCCAGCTCTTCAATGAAAGAAAATGGTTATGAACTAAAGCCACACCCAGAACTCTTGTAATAGCAGAAAAAAGACCTGACAGCACGTAGGAATGTGTTCGCACTCTGTGTAAAAGACCTGGCAGCAATGTGATGTCAAACAGTATACATCATAGCCAGTATTACATAAGGTACCTCGCTAAGTAACAAACGTCAGTACTTTGGTGACGTTGATGTACAGATAGCTTACATGAGAAATGTTACACGCCTGTTTGCTTTATATCTGTATCATTTGACAGTATTGACATTACCGAGAAGAGTAAACACCGAAACAATATGATATTCTTACCCTATACCAAAGACGCCTGTCTTATATCCACATCCCGAGTTCTGTACGTTGGTCGTACGTATAGCACCCCATGTCCAATGTGTAGAATCTATCACATGTTTCTGTGTTTGTGTTTCGTTCATCTTTTCAAGATTCACGATGGTAGACTGTGCTGGTGCCCGAGATTTGCCGTAACCTTGATGGCCACAATTATTAATTATTATATTCCAATAGCTCTGCTAAAATATTGAATGTTTCTTTCGTATTAATTGGTATATATGTGTATAATATTTTTGTGAATGACGAACTTAAAATGAAATCACTGTTGCAGGTATATTTTTGTTTTTTATTAGCTCGTTATCTACCGTTTTGATATCAAAATTGGTTCCACTTTTTATTCATTGCGAATTTATCGGTAAGGTTTTATGCAGTAAAAAAAACCTTAGAGTTGCATAATGAAAGCATTAATCAGCCATTTCCAAAATAGGAAGGAACATAATTGTAATACCCTTGCATTTTGTGTTTTCAAGGGATATTATTTTTAAACTTTAAAACGAATTGCTATTATATATAAAGTTAAAAAATAATCGCTGTAGAAGTATAAGAAATATGATATTGCTGAAACTGTGTTCATATATCAAAAACATAAACTTAATGGTTGCATATAATGCTATATCATGCTTTGTATCATGCTTTATCAAACATCTATTTCACGATCTGTTATTAATATCTTACCTTTGCTCGGCTTTGTGATATTGGTGTATACTTCATATCTTCTTGGGAAACAGTTATTTCAAATGGACAGACAGAGAACAAAGATATTCCAAAATACGTTCATCGTAACATTTGAAAGACAAAAGATGTTGTACTTTATAATCATACAACTCCTAACTCTATACCTGCAAACAGTACAACATAACAGCAATTAAGAGACCTTTCCAGTGATAAAATTAATATCGATGCTTTCCTTGGCTTCTATTTCGTCTTTGCGTATTGCAGAGTTATCTTCTCTTGTAAGCAGGTATTGATTGTTACGTCATTGGTTTGTGTGAGAAAAAATTCGTCGTTTTCTCAAAAATTGATGACGTTACTGTCACAAATAAATGACGTAACAATCAATCCCTGCTCACAAGAGAAGATAACTCTGCAATACGCAAAGATGGCATAAGACAAGCATTATATGGTATAGCATATAATACATGTATTGTTAGATTGAAGTTCTGATTTGGATATTATTCTGTTATCGATTTAAACAAATACATTAAACAAAAGGAACGCTTGCTGGTACTGATATGTATATTCCTGTGTATCCGTAGGAACTCGAAGCTGGTTGTGGCTGCTGAATGTATGCAGAACATCCTAGATAGATGTCGAGGGATGACCGAGGAGGAACAGCTCTTACAGAGGTTGTTTGACAAAGACGAGATTGTCAACACTGTCCGCTTCTTCTGTGATAACCTGCACAGTAAGTGATGACGTTGTATGTTACCCTATACAATACGATGTTGACCATACTAAATTCTGCATTAAGATTAGTTTTGAGGTAAAAAAAAAAAAAGAAAAAAAAAACACCTCTGCATGTACTTAAAAAACTGTATTGGTGAACTGAGAATATATTATTAATTGTGATACTTTGTGATTGGTTTTGGTTTTATTTTGTTTAATGTCCTATTAAAGATATAGCCAATTAAGGACCTTTTTCATGAAAGCGATATGTTGGGTGTATGCCTCCTTGTGGTAGCACGGATCTGATGCCAACCTAAGAGTGAAATGACACACCGAAGGCATCCAGTAGTATTCTGCCCGGTCACATTATGCTGATAATGAGTTAACGAGTTGTTGCAATTACCCAAAATGCTGAACGTTAAGGTAGTTATAGCAACTACCATTTTAAGGACTTTGGTATGTTCGACAAGGGGTCAGAACCCATTTACAATGGCCGCGGTAGATTTATTGGTCACTGTTGTTCCCGCAGGAAGCTGAATTCAAGGGAGTTCCAACATTTGTCGTCACCTAAACATAGCAGGTATATTCCTTTCCCAATCTCTGACCTACAGGATTCTGATACATTAAGATACTTAGTTCGTGGTACAATAAAGTTATTTATAAACACTTTTTATTACACCAAACTATTTTTGTTGACAGTTTATGAAAGACATACGAAGTGCATTATGGACCAACATGCGGCCGCCAGCGAGTGCAGTTCGGCGGCCAAAATGAGCTACACAATCAAGATTTCGGCAAACGCCCCCATCGATGTTCTCATTCTGTCCACGTGCACGTGAGTATACAAACGCCCCAATCGATGTTCTCATTCTGTCCACGCGCACGTGAGTATACAACCGCCCCCATCGATGTTCTCATTCTGTCCACGTGCACGTGAGTATACAACATTCAGATCTTGGCTGACGCCACATAGATCGTCCTGATTCTGTCCAATACTGCATATCCTTATCATATTTCGCTGTTTGTCCGCATGCGCGTGAGTGTGTGACACCAAGTCTAGAATATTATGGTATCGGCCAACTTTAACCCATACATTTCATAACGCTATCTACAAGGTCGTTAATATACACGATACACATCTCAGCCATTGCCCCATAGACATTCTCATTCTGTTCACATGTACGTCATCATTCCGATCAATCGGGAACCGTCGTCACTTTCCGTGAACGAAAAAAATAAAAGTGTTTTACCACGGAATGTTATCTAAGTCCTTGGTTTTACACACATGGGTTATTTCGTTGACGGAGGGTACCTGCGATTTCCGTTTGCGTTCTGCCTTCTATATATAAAGAGAGATAACTCCGGCGGGTATGGTGGCTTATTGGATGTTGTGTACAGCATTCAAATCAAAACCAAACAACAGACTTTCTTCTTCCGCGGAAGATCTTTAAATGCTGTGCTGATTATTTCATGATATGATTAATGCTATAAAATGATGAAACACATATGAAAACGATCGATAAGTCAAAGAAAAAATGTAACATTTTACGAAAAGGCGAGTTTTTTTTCAGTTGAGCATCATGAACTATATCAATCTGAGATTACTACGTTTTTTGGACCGAATAATTTCTTCACAAAAAACCCCACAAACTTCACTTTATCTCCTTCCGTGAAAGATGTTTAGATAATGTGTTCATTATTTCAAAATATGGTCAATGCTATAATATGGTACAATATATCTGTATAAGACAAAAAAGATAAAAAAAAATGTGTAAAGATCTTTAACTGAAAAAGTTCCGAACTATATTTGGTTCAAATCACTACGCCTCGTATTCCAATACTCTAAGTGTGTGTAAGAGTTTTCTCCCCTTGTCCATCATTGCGTGGTTTCATGCTCGCGACTTGTTGAACGACTGTTTGATAATTGTCCTTGATAAAGTAGGCTTCGTGTTTTCTTTGTCTCAATGGAAATCCTCCAAGTGAAAGAGAATGTTGACTTATACAAAAGAAGCCATCAGCAGCTGTGCCTAACGAGTTTATAGATAGCTTCCCAATGCGACAGCAGCTGTGCCTAACGAGTTTGTAGATAGTTTCCCAATACAGTCTCTAGATAATGGCCCGATTAGTATAATACAAGTGCTGCGTGAACATAGCATATTGAACATCAAAAAATAAAACCGTATATACATATATTTACATAGGTCTTTAACATTCGTTACAATATCGAGAGAAGGAGAGAGATACACAAGGGACTTGCATAAGTCCGTGATTACACGCACTGGAAATAATACCATCTCGTTTTATTTTTTTGTATAATTAACCATGATAATAACAAATTGTAATAATAATATCATAATTGTTTATTTATATGATCTTTATAACATTTATTTATATAATTTCTTATTTAATCGTAAATTTAACTTTCCCGTAATCTTACGGGACAATTTTGGTTTGCAGGGTTGTCTGGTCAAGGTCACTGTTACTATTTTTAAAAAGATCATTGTCGCGCTGTAGCAGCTTCATTCCTAGAAGGATTTCCATCGATTTGAAACACTAATTAAGGACCATAATATCAGACAAGTTTCAATTGTTTTAGCAATGCTCTGCTTGTTATATATATTTTTATTGAAAATTAGGATTAAGGGATGGGCTTTTATGACACTTACTCAACAACATGTTTTTTTTATTATTTACTGCCATTCTGTACTGATATACCACCTCCTTTATTCCATTATTTGAATCCTCCATACACAGGATCCCTGAGTGCCCTCGGCATTTATTTTTTTGTATGATAATTTAAGAAATGATTATTATCTTTTATCATGTTTAATGCAAACAATATCATTATCATATTGTATGATATATTAAATGCAAATAACAAATGTATTGTCTTGTATATATTATGTTTTTCCTGTGTATTGTATAATATATTTAGCAAACTATATATGATCCTGTATAATACCTTCGGCAAATATTATAGTATCTTTTATGACACCTTCGGCATATAACAATTAGTCATAATGTATTCTTAAATATATCAAATGATCACGTTTTTAACTTTTATTCATTCCCAGATTTTTGGATGAGGCAGCTTCATGTTTAACTGGAACTGTGGATCTCAATTGTGGAAACGAGGCAGCCTCTTTTCTGGAAACCATTCTTCTGGGAACCCGGCCACCCGCATGTGGTGATAAGATGCCTGTTTATAGTGTAGATGGTAATTCCGGTTCTGATGATGCAAACATCCTGTCAGGAAAAACGAACTGTTTAATAATTTCGATAATTTTAACCATCGTTTTTCAATTAAGACGTATGTTTTTATGATACATATTAGATCTCGGTGATACCTGTCATTGAATTATACTAACAAAGTTGTGATATTTTTGTTTTTGTCACATGATCAAAACAATAAGTCACGTGACAAAATAAAAAAACAAACTTATTATAAGTATTAAGACATATTTACATGTGTGCAGTTCAGAAACCAAATATAATATTGTATAAATGTCCAATATGAAACCAATGAATGCTTTTTTTCTGGAAGTGCCCTAACATTCCACAGTATCGACGAAGGTCTGCCGGACAGGAGAGGCCACAGGAACCATGGAGACTAATTATTAACTTTCTGTGTTCTTGCAATTTGTTTGTGTTTACAATATAAATATGTACAGAGAAATAGCGTAGTTACTAAACATTGACTTAGACACATTCATTGTATGGCGGCACATCAGAGGATTCCATGTTAAGACCCATCAGACATGTTACATAATTGAAAAAAAAAGAACAATAATATTATTTTTGAAAATAGAACACTTCGTGTAATATTTACCTGGTATAAAACAAGGTAATTGGGAAACAATTATTGAAAACCAAAAAGCAAATAAAAGTTTAAATTTTGACTCGACGAGTAAGAATTACAAATTGATTATATAAAATAATGGTTCTTAGCAAGATATTTCTGTACATAAATGTAAAATGTATCCAAATACATGTAGCAGAAATATCCATGGATAAAAACAAGACCGACTTCAATAAAACATCGTGTTTACAAAGTCGTGTATACTGTGCCGTCTGTATAATATCTTCCCATTGAATTTCAGTATTCGTAAGATATCAATGCACAATGTTCACAGATGTAGAGGAATAAATGAAATTCATGTACAAGTATAGGAAGCTATCAGATTCTATCATTACGCAATTAAAAAAACCCGGTGTCATTTTTATACGATTTTTTTATGTTTTATGTTTTGAAAAGAGTTTTCAAAATTTAACTAAATCTGGTGTCAAAAAACAGATTTAGTGAATATTACCAATATAAACAATACATGTACGAAATTGTGTATAGATTCATAAGCACGACCAGTCAAGTGTTTGTGACATTTTGATGACTGTACGAGATGTACTTTTATCAGATAGAAACACTTCAGTAGTTGTGCTAAAGGAATATTCTTACCAATATGAAGAAAATGTTTAGAAAAATATAAACGCAATTTTGCTAAAGCTTAAACCAGATTAATCCGGACTAACAAGGTTTTACATTAGCTGTAGTGTTCACGTATGTATGATTCATTGAAATACGAAGATACATTTATTTGACCTTGTTAGTCCCGATATTCTGTAGCCCAGACGACTTGAATATTCGGATTACAACCCCTATTGTAACGGGATAGGAGAGCAGGTGGTCTCATATTACATATTTAGAAAATGAAGTATGTCACTTTGTGGGCGGTAAGGCCTAAATATGTTCTGGGTATTGCAGTGCATGCTGGACTGATAGAAAGCGTGTCGTGTGTGTGTGTAATTTAGTCGAGAGCTATGCAAGCAGAGACAGAGAATCAATCTAAAAGCTGAAAAATCCTGTTTTTACCTATTAAAATTGTAATATGTTCTTTTTGGGAAGTTGCAACTCATTTAGATATTGATTTTTGTAAAATCAGAACACATCGTTATGAAATGGGCGATTGTATACAGCAAAGATATAGGATGTTCCTTCACTTACATTTCCCCCATCTTTGTCAATAATTCATGCAAATATTGATGTATGTATACAAATATACCGGATTCAATTCACTATACATAGCGTCCATGAAATAAACAGATACAGATGTCTTATGAAAGTTTCACTTTCCAACAACTTTTATCTCGGAAATAAGCAATATACAAAAATCAACTTGCATCATAAAATTGTCAAAACACACTCTTAATGAATTAGGAAGGACAATTTCAATATTATACAAGTTAGGATACTTAAAATACCTTATGCATGTAAAATCAATTAATTTTGTAATGTTCATAGCTTTAAATGCAGTATATCCCTTATGCTATATAAGTTATAGCTCAGGTCCTATACAAGATATCTCTTACATCATAAGATATCTGAAATTATATAAAAGATATATCTTATGCTATGTAAGATATCCCTTATACGATGAGCGTTTCAATGTTGATAATCTGTCAGTGAATACATGTTAAGGCTGGTTTTCATAGGGTCATTTCAAAATATAATACACATTGAAAATCGTTCTTATTGTTATCATTCCCAACATTACGCTATTGTATTGAAGTACATTAAACAAAACTGAAATATACGGCAAAAGATATTTGTTCTTATTGGCATAAGAATCAGAAAATTAAGATTTACTGAAGGATTATATTACTAAGGCAGTATGACACCCGGAGATAACTCCTGTATGACATCAAGGTAAGTATCCTAACGAGATTCTCAAGCTGACCCTGAAGCTGACAAAGTTCAATCGTTCAATACCATATACATTATTACATCGTGACGTTTTTTACAGTTCCGTTATCACGCGATCGTTATTAAAGCCATTTTGAAATCTTGGGAAATCCCACAGTTTCAAACGGATTTGTCGATAAAGCTACGTTAAGGGGGAAATAACTGAATGATTTAAAACAAGGAACATAGATTTTACGGACTGGATTTCATTATAAAATTAAAAAAATAATCTTTACAAATGATACTTACGAAGATACAAACATCAGATCAGTCAGATGTTCAGGCGGAGCCATGTAACAGATGATTTTTTAATCAGATTGGACGATTCTCAAACTTAGTTTGTAATGTCCATTCCCTGTAATTGACAATATTAGTGAATCATGAATTTAAGAAATCCCAGCAAAGTACAGTTTCAATATACGGGGGTATACAGATATACGATAAAATTGGGG